AAAAAAAAACACATCTTAGTAAAACCAATACCTTCTCAGTTTCGCATCGAAGCTAAAATAATAATACTTTTTTAGTTCATTTACAATAAAAAGTTGCGTATACGCAACTTTAAGATTAACTATATATATTATTTTACAATATATACAGTTCTATTTTATTGTTCTAAGAAGTTTGGGTGAAGATGCACTTGACACTTGACACACTTGTATATAGTTTTTTTTTTAAACTGGCTACGTTGTCTTCTCGCTTAATCTTTATCTTATACTATTACGTGACTGACATTGTCAGCTATAATTTACATTAGGCTTTTAGATGGTCGTTCATAATTTGAATTGGAAAGGAAGTTTATTTGGTTACTTGGTTCTGCATTATCTTGGCCTTGATTATAATCTTCAATGGCTGGTTCATTCATTTTCATTAGTGTAACTGCTATGTAGGACTTAAAATTAACTGAGACATTATGATTTGTTTGCTATATAAAATTGTACAAGGAACTATTGAAACTGCACAGGCGCCATAATTTGACACCAAACCTGATTGGTTTTTCTTTGATGTACATCTTACAACTATGTCAACCGATTTATAGCACATTTATATAAATATATAAATTATGAGAAAATACTACAAAGTGCATATTCTTTTTATTTATCAAATCATAAACCGATCTTAATTTTGAAAATCTATTGTTTTTATCAAGTTTATCGTTATCTGATAAATGTTTTGATTTATGGAATCAAATCTGTTCCTACTCATCTCTTTCTACCTAATTCTATCCATTTGTTCTCGTCTTTGGATCAATACAGTTTTGTATCTGGTAACGTATGATAACCCGAAAAAATAAGTCTACCAAAAAATCGCCTATGCCTAGTATTTTCAATTGTAAATGAATGCCGATTTTTATCGTTGGCCAATTTTTTTCTATAAAATATTATTTTTACCCAATATCATCACTGACAAACAACGAAAAAAACATCAAAAGACGTTTTACCACCAATTCTATTTTCAATATCTTTCAAATTTGTTTTTCTTAATTTTGTGGTTCTCTGTTGTACATATTGGAACCTCTTTTCACCACTTTGAAAGCCCGGTTTTTGATTTATTTATAATTTTTTTTTTTACTAACTTTTGCTTTTTTTGAACATGATGGTAATGACTGATCGTCGTTGTCTTCAGAACTATCAGGTAAACTTGTATGCATTTCATTAGTGCCTGCCACATCTAGTAAATTTATCACGTTCTCGTATATATCTTCATCTATCAAGTTCATCTTCGTCAATAACTTCGTCTACAGGCATCAATGATATCAGTGTGCAATAAATCTTCATCTTCGTCCAATACGGGCAAGACCTTAAAAGTTGACAGAGGTCTTCCGTTTTTTCAAGACATCACTCTAACGTTGTAGGAAAAAAAGTTTACAAAACAAATAAATTGTATAATAAACTTACTTCAATTCAATATTTCCTAAAACTGCACTTCACTAATCAACACTGATCTTTTACAGTAAATCGTAAAACCATTCGGCATAAATAATCACACAAAACTGATTTAATTTTGATACACGTACCCCGGGAGATAACGGTGCTACACATTGACGACTAGTTACACTAGAAATCCCAATGTTGTGTAAACGCAAAAATAATGAAAACGGTCAGTTATATAAAAACTATAAATATGATAATATCTCTTCTTTTCTAACCTAATGGCCTTGTAAATTTAAATTGATAATTTGGAAAATCACATTCTGAGTTGAGAAAATATATCATAGGAAATTTGAAATATTGATTAAGTAAATAAATATATAAAAATGAAAATATTTTATAACATCGAATTATTTCATAAACAACATAATTATTGTTCTGTTGAGAATAAATTGTTAAGGTTAATAAATATAGTTTAAAAAACTAAAAAACACGCTTTAGAAGTACATGGAACTAAAAATTATTTTAAACTTTTTAGTTTTTTATGAAATCGCTATCACAGTCACAGAGTGTTTATTGTCAATTATGACTATCAATAGAAATAATTTATGTATTGGCAGTTAGTGTGTTTATAAGTTCCAACTGTGTCTTATTACTATTTATAATAAACGCTATATACCTGCCAATATCGCCATAAAAAAATTATCCAGGATCAGTGTTTTGTAGGCATGAGGTGAGCAGGGTCGGGTGAATGCGTTACGGCAGTCTAGTCTCAAGGTCATAGACGACGGGGATCCGCGAGTATAATAACACGTGGCGCGTGGAGAGTTACAAACTTACAACAAACATACACGTGAAACTTATATAAGCGTGTTAAAAAGTAAATTCGCTTAATTTTATAAAAGTTTCGTTTACGTAGCGCTGGGGACTAATGAGGTAAAGAACAACGTGAAAAATGCCAATGGTATGTTTTAATAATATCAAAAATGAAATGTTAAAATAAAGAATGCCATGAAACTAATTATTGAGATAATTCTATAGAGCGAACAATACATTATTTGAATACGCTCGTTTCAAATTAAGATCATTAGATATCAAACCTTAATCCCCATGTAAATTGATCTATTATTGATATGTAGTTAGCATTAGCTTCGTCGTTCATACTCCAAGCACCACCTATAAATTCCAATTGACCAGATGAAACTAAATAACGAACTTGCATTTTAATGTTTTCATTTTGTTTTTCCCACCACTTCCAAAAAAAAGCTGTTTCTACATATATAAATCTAAAATGACATTTAACATACTTATTCTGTTCAATTAATTATTATAAACAATATATACCTTCTATTTGAATCCTTAGACAAAGCTTCAACAACCGAGTCCAATATAAACTGCACACTGGCCGCTTGTATAGAATTATTAGCTAAAAATGAGTTTTTTTAATATATAATTATATAATAATTAAATATACAATTAAACAAAAGTTACTAAAACTTAATATTTCATCGATTCACCAATTTAGTTTAAAAAGATTTAAAATATTACTTGTTTTTATATTTTATAAGAAAGGAATATTATTTTTTTTTGAAAATAATATTACAAAAGCTTGACTAAAATTTAAAAAAAACTTACGCATCGATGTACAGAATTTACAAAGACTTGATTAGTAAAAGTAAATCAATAATAATAAAAGTACTTTGATAAAATACAATATTTCATTCTTTTACAGTTAATATTTCTTAAGAAACTTACAATCGTATAATGGAATAAATTCCTTATATAAGCGACCTAGGGGGCCAATTTTTTAACATTAAAAGTAAATATATTTTATCGATGCCATTTATAAACTTTTAAGAGTTGTATTTCATTCCACTCTAGAGCATTTTAATAAAGTGTTTATTTTTTGTATTCTTACTTAAAATTATAAACTGCCTACTATTTATTTAGGTGTTTTAGCATTGTATTAAAAAATTGCTAATCGAATGAAATGTATAATATATAAATAAAATTTTAAGTATTAAATTATAGATGGATAGCTATAATTTTAAGTAATACCTTATACATACTTCGACAACTATGTTCATTAGCAAACAGTTTATACACAAAACCCAAACGTTAATTAACAATAGGTGTAATACTGCGCCAATATTGACAGTTCTAATGCAGCGGCGGTTATTAATGTTGGACTAATACTAACATATATCTGGGATGATAACGCTTTTCAGTGCTGATAGATCAGTACGGGAGGTTTTGTATTAGCAATATTACACCAGCAATGCAGCCAAGTACTGACTGCCAATTCAAGAACAGTACTTTGACAAGACTCGAGCCAGTACTACGCTAGTACGGGAGTACTCAATTGCCAGTACTGGTGCACTACTTCATCCGTTGTCAATGGTGGTACTTAACAAAAATGTTTGCTCAGGAAGTATTATCTACATAAGTATAGCTACAGAAAAATTCAGTGGCGGCTCGTGGGTGCTAATGGTGGGGGTGCGACTTTAAATATAATACCGCTAGTCAGTGGCGTAGATACGATTATTTTCTTGGGGGGGGGGGTTATTTCATATTACATTTTTAATATTTAGTGATGTATTTTTTTATTTAAAATTAATTGATAATATTATTAACAAAATGTAAAAAAATAATGATAAAAAATAATTTTATATCGCACCTCTACTTTATTTATGAATAATTTTATATGTTTGGTTCTAATACGGGTTGAAACCCCTAAACCCCCCCCTGTATCTACGCCACTGCCGCTAGTTATAGGTATACGAAATTGTCAAAATTAATATAATAAAATAAAACACACATTATTATTTTAAAGGTCGCAGTAGAAAATAGAAATGAAAATAATAATAATAGCGATTATACATGAATGTGTTAAAACTTTCATGGATATATCCTCAAGCACTTTAAGCAAAAAGCGATTATACAATTATAGCAACCGATTACGACGAGCGTACATGTAGTTAATTCTAAAAATAAATTACCCAATAAAGTAACATACTAATATTTTACTGTATGGACGACGCTGCCGGTCGTTCAAAACCTGTACATAAGATTGCAGCTAAATGGTACCCGCACGCACACGAATCAGCACCTCGTTTATAATATGCGTTTCAAAATATTGTTCGGATGATGCTGTTGGTCGCCCAAACACTGCTCGTGTTTGCATGTGTACCGTTTATACTGAGGGAAACAACTTTAATGTTCGCACACGACAAATATATTATGACTATTTTACTATTTAAAAATTTGCATTTTTAATAAAAATTTAGAATTGAGAATATACAATTGATTTTCTTCTTTTAATTAATTTTAGTAGGTGGTGCGATGGTCCCGTCATCCAAATCACGAACTGGAAAAATCATAATTAATGATTTGCATTTGTATAATTAGAACTATTAAAATAATTTATTATGCTGATAAACAACACTTGAAACAAAAAAATGGAATATCTTTTTTATACGTGTTTCCAGGATCAACAATAGTCCTCGAAATTTAGAAAAAGTAATTTAAATTATTAGCATGTGATTAAGTAATAAATATTTTTTATTTTATTTTCTGCAGTATTTAATCTAATTATTGGTTTGCAGCAACTTCCATGTTTCTCTATCACTAGCCTTCCTCTTTAACTCTTGATATAAATTACATCCTTGATCTTCTATTATTCGAACTATGTATTGCAATTTTGGTCTTCCTCTATGATTTTTTCCATCGATTATTCCTTTTAAGATTAATAATAGCAACCCGTCGTGTCTTAGGTGTCTTAGGTGTCTTATTTTATTATTTTAATCCTCAATACTCTAAGTTATGAATAATATAGATTTTATGATTAAGGCATATTAAAAATTTGAGCCATATACATAAATAAAAAATTTAACTATTTGATATTTAAAAATATTTTTATTTAACAATAAAAATAATTTTCTAAATTTTACGGAGATTACGAGCCAAAATTAAATGCAACGGCTCTCTTAACAAAAAACCTTGTTGGACATTTTCGTCTACATCCGGTATTAAGAAATACTATTGAGTTTAGCTAAAAAATAATAACGACAACTTATATTTTTAACTATAAATTAAAAAATTATGTATTTTAAACTCTAAGATTTTGATAATGTAGTAGATGTAATAATTACCGTTTTTAAAAATCTTTTCTAGTTACTATGATTTATAACATAAAATAGCTGAATTAATGCAATATAAAGTATTCTTGTTATCACTATTCGAGAATGTATGGAAAGAAGAGTTTTAATTTCAATACCGCGATCAAGAACATATCTTGTTATCATGGATTAAAAACGAATTTCCAGATTATAGTCCTGTTACTACTATTTAGCAGTGTATAATAAACGATTAAAAAACGGTAGCACAGTGGGGTCGAGGCACAGTGTAGACAAGGCATAGATGGGATAAGTAAAGATGAGATCTGACAGTGATTAAAATCACTATCATAAGAAACGCTTCGATGCAAATCTGTAGATAGTGTTTAATTTTAAGAAATGGGTAGATTATTTCTAAAGCAACAATATCTTATTCCCTTAATTTTATCACGATTAGTTATTTGATTTATAATTATAATATATGAATAAATAATAATTATAGTAATTAAATTTAGTATGAAATTGATATTCATTAATTTAATATTGTAATTTTTACGGAGATCTTATTATAAAAATAATAAAGTAGTTGTATATTTCTTTACTTTTAAAAATTTAAAGGGATTGATGCAATACTTTCCAATTAAAAAATGTTTGTTACTTATAACGAAGTTATAAGTTTTATACACTGGACTACAAGGAACTTTTATCAGAAACAAAAATATAATTTCCCAAATCAACTTTTCACGATGTTTTAAATGTGCAATTAGACTTTTTCTATCACTTCTAAGTTTTAATATTATTACTTATTATTAAAAAGTAAGTATTTATTTATAAAAAAATAATTAAGAACAAAAAAAATAGTTTAAAATTAATGCTTCATTTCATTAATCGACATCATTAAATAGGAAATTTTATAAGAAATAAAAAAATTGTATCGTTATGATTAATATGCAGTCAGGAAATTTTATAACAACTATTTATAGTAAATTTATCAGTAAAGCTCAAAATTTTTTTGCATTTTTATCGTAATAAATAACTGTACTAGAAGTAATAATAATCATTTCCTAGTAACTTTTGGCGTTTAAAAAGATTCTACAATTGAAATATGAACTGAATTAATTTTGATGATTTACTTTAACTAAAATAACTAATCAAAAAAAAGTTGTTAAAAATATCTAAAAATCTATTGTTAATTCAGGAGAAACTAACAATCATTTTTTTTAGAAATGATTTATATAGCAACATGTTACCAAAATATTTGGAATATTATAGTCTTTTAGTAGCATACACAAATAGAGTAAAAAAATTATTAAATTACAAAGTAAAATGATTTAATTTTGTAATTGAAATCTATCATATCAAACTTGATTCATCAATAAATACTTTGAAAACATTATAAATAAATGATTACAGTTGTCTGTATGGAGAATATGGGATAAGTAACTGTTTAATTGATAAATTAGAATTTTGTTTCAATTTTTGAGTGTAATATCTTCAATTAGATACGATTTGTGATCTTTTGACGTATATCAAGTATATCAAGTTAAAGCAGAGAAAATAAATGATAGTCATAGAAATACCCTCTTAGCTTTGCATCAAAGCTAAAAAAATTATTAAAATTTGTTCATTTTTCAAAAAGTTATGGCAAATTCAATTATTAAAATATTTTATATTACACAGTGATTACTACATAAAAATTACATTTTTCGTTAAATTCGACGGACATTTACCCAAAAGAAAAGGTGTCAGAACAAATTTTTTTTGTTTGAACTTATAGTACTTAATGTAAGCTTTAATTTGATACATATTTATAGCTCGAAGTATTTCCGGGACATTTTCAAAAGTCAAGTTGAAAAAGTTTTACTTTTTATACGTATGTTTCAAGTTTTGAACGCCTATTAACGCCTAAGAGAAATTGTCCAATTTAAATAAAAAGTATGTCAAATATAATAAGTAAATATAATGTGTTTAGAAAAAAAAAATGTGTGTTGATACATACTTTTTTCGAAAAGTTATAGCAATTTAAAGTTTAAAATTTCAAATCGATGTACGAAAATTTTAACACGAAAAAAGCATTTTTTTAAATACGACAACCGTTTGCGCGTAAAAGATAAGTTGTCGGGACAAATTTTTTTTTAATTTATAGTGCGTAACATTAGCTTCAATTTTACATATATTTAAAGCTCGGAGTACTTCCGGAACATTTTCAAAAATTATGTTGAAAAAACTTAGTTTTTGTAAAAAAGTTGCTATTTTAAATCCAGTCTGTGAGCTATGTTAAGTGTTAGTTTTTCAAAACAATGTTATCAAATAAAAAATAAATATCTAAGGTTTCAATATAAAAAAAAAAATTATTTTGATTTGTTCATTTTTAAAAAAGTTATAGTAATTTAAGGAAAAAAATGTCAAAAATGACTGATTTTCAAAATTGTATTTTTTTTGAAGATTTCCCCCATTTTCGGGAAACGAGGGAAATTTTTTCAACTTTTAATGGTAATATCTTCAATTAGATACGATTTGTGATCTTTTGACGTATCGTTGAAAGAAATCAGTCCAGTGAGAGCTGAGAAAAGTGGCTACATACACAAAAATAAAAACGCACCACAGTAAAATTAATACTTCCTCAGCTTCGCATCGAAGCTAAAATTACAAAATAAATATTTTACTATTTAATTTTAAAAACCAATAAGCCATATCACTAGTGAGATACATTCTAATTTTTTAAGATATTCTTCTTATATTATTTAGGTGCGACTTTAAAAGATTGAAAATTTATTGTAGGTACTTTTTTAAAATACTAGGTTTTATTGTAAAATAGATAATCATACCGAAAAATTAATTATTTTTAAAATATGACGTATAATATACTAATATACTTTAGAATATCAAATTATATATTAACTTAAACTATGTAAGGTCAAATGGTGTTCATTGGTGTTTCTTTATGAATATACCAAACCAAACAGTATTTTATAAATATTAAAATAAAATAATACATCTATGAGTTAAATATAATCTAGAATTTTATAAACCAAACTAACAAAACTACTCCATAAAATATATGTAATGTGCTCCTAAGTAGAATGAAATTTATGAGGTCTTAATAATTTTTACTTGATTTTAATAAGATGTAGTGAAAGATTATTGTTAAAAATATTGATTGAAAATAAAAATATTCAAAAAATGTTTTTTATTCCCTAATGAATGAAGCAATATTAAAATCCCTTGGATTGTGCAAATTTTAAATATTTATATAATAAAAATTGATCAATTGTGGCTAATATTATTTAAAATTAAAATTAAATTAAAAATTGGTATTCTATAAATTAGTATGTGTTAAACGTGTTGTTAATGGTAATATTGTTCCCGAAATACGTATCATCGATTATTCAGTAATATTTTGTGGCTTTTTGAGCTATCAATTTTTTAAGAAATTCTAAAAATCGTATATTTTATTACTTCCGTAATAATATTGATCCACAGTCTTCAACCAGCCAACATCATCATGTGAATGAGGGACAAAATGAACATTGAGATAATCAATTTTTACTGGATGACATGACTAAAATAATAAATATTTGTTTAATTTAATTACAAAACATTTATTTCATTTAATATTTTGTAAAAATAATACATAATATAATAATAACTAGTAAATATACCACACATGTTTTATTTAGTTATAAAATATCAAAATGATTTTTATTTTTTTGAGATATTAAATGGTTTTTTGGAATGCCATTTAGTATAGTTAATTTCTATCTCAACAAAAAAATTGGATGGATACAATTTTACTATTGGTAAAATATTAATCATATAAAATCATACAATGTTAACTATTAAATATTTTGTCATGATTATTACAATGAATTGGCAATCAAAAATCGATATCCATAAGACTGACAAAATTAGTGACGGACTTTAAAGAGTCGATAGTATATTAATCAAACATTTTTGTGTTATTTTTTAATTAAATTAATTATATTAATCCATTTAATTGAATATGTAAACATATTTTAAATAGTTTTCAAACAAAATAGTCAAGTACATTTTCTTAAAAAAAAAAAAAATAGAAATTATAGGAAAATAAAATGACAGATTAATTTACATGTAATGAAATTTAAAAAGTTTTTTAATGGTATTTTGATTAAATCACTAATTATTTGGTTTTATCGTTTTTTTCTAACTATTATCTAGGATGCTCATTCGGTTTTTCGTGGCCAGATAATATTAATTCAATTTGCTCTAAAAATTAAATTAAAGGAATATTTATTTAGTTGGAATATTAAGGATTATTAACAAATCTTATACATGTTTTTGTTTCCTACTCATGTTGAATATAATTTAATAGGTGTCAATAAAAAAAATTAATGTGAGTAGATTCCAATTAATTTTTTTCGTTATCTATACCATGATTTTATTTTATTTTGAGTTTTTTAAAATCATTATTACATTATTGCAATAAATTGACTAAAATTACTAAATTACCAAATAAAGTAGGTACTTTATAGGTACCTACTTATAAGTACTTATAAGTAGGTAACTGATAAGGATTAGTTAATTAAAAAATTTGAATTATAAAAGCTGTTCTATTATTAACACAGCGACAATTGTTAACTTTTATTATTATTATTATTCAATAACTATCGCAACAATAAATCGTATATTTAAAAAATTTTTAATATACTGTCGATTATATTTTGACAAAGTTTACCTAAATTATTTAATTTAATGAAAAATAAAACATGTTTGTTAGGGTGGTTAAAACATATGAAAATATTTTTAGTTATTTGACACGTTTACACTCTCCATTTTTTTTTGATATAAAATAATTATACCGTGAAATTTGGGACTCGATCAAATAACTCCTTTCTGACCCGCATTGAGTTTGATGATCAACTTGATGATTTATTGGTTATATCAATAGAAAAAGACGAGTCTTCATAAATCAGTTTAAAGGAAGATCTAGATAATTTTGCTAATATGAATGATCGTAGGTATCCATATTAATCCTAAGATTTTACTATTTTACTAATTTATACTATTTTATAGGGTAGTTCGAAAAAAAAGTCGGACTTCAAATATTTGATCACGTCACTTACCCTCAATCAGATTTTTTACTTGTTATGCAATTGTGAAAATATGTTTATGGAGTTAGCTGATAATTAGTTTACCAATACAGCTTCGAGACAAGTTGTTATAATTTTAATATTAATCATTTTTATTTTATACCATAAAAACGTTATCCTGCATTTATAAAAGTTTCCAAGTAACAACCAAGAAAGTTTTTAAATCCCGCTGAAGAGTGCATATTTTTTTATTACTTTTGGTTATTTTTTCATTTTTTAAATTAGTAATATGTAATGATTTTATTTAATATCTTTTTTATTTAAATAACACTTGATTTAAATTACTCTAACGATTTTAAGTCTTTTGGATGGGCAAAGACCCTCAAATTTTTTGTCTCTATTTAAAATCACTATTTATTTTACACAAAGTGTTTATTTATTTTATATGTAAACATGAGTAAATAGTTATAAAATAATTGATTTTACAAAATTATAAAAATTAAGAATGTTTTTTTAATTTAATGCTAAATAATTTTATATTCTATAAATTTCTACACTAATATTAAATAATATTCATTGAAATAAATGTGAAAAACTAAAAAACAACTCTATTTGATCAATGTTCAACCCCAATGTGGCACAGGAAGTGTTAGTATGATCGAGTCAAAATGTTTATAGCATAAATTTTTTATATCAAATAAAAAAATTAGGAGGGGTGACGTGATCAAATATCTAAATTAATGTTTTTTGAACCACCCTATAAAATAGTATATCTTATTTATAGTTTTTTAGAATAAATATAATTTTCTTAAATAATAATACCTCTGAAATTTATGAGAAGAATTATTTTCAATAGTTCTAGTAAAAACACTGTCTTGCACTAATTACAAAATTTTATCATATTTTTATTTTAACTAATTATTTTAAAAACTATATTTAGCCAATCTTATTATTATATTTTTAAAATTATTAAATAAGAGGATATTTGAAAATAATTTTAGTAGTCCAATTAATTACTAAAGGTATTTTAATGGTAGTATTTTATTAGTTGCTTAATTAATTACAATGAGGTATTTTTGTTTATTGTTTTTTACTTATTGTAATACTCAAGATAAGTACAACTATATTGATAATATTTTTATCAAATATTAAGGTAATATGAAACTATAATTTAATACTCGTTAATACATAACTAAAATTAAGCAATATCTTAAAAACAAAATATATTTACTTTTCCATCCATAGATTTTTTTAATTTTTAATTTCTTCATTATTTATTCAAATTGATACTTTAAACAAAAAATGTAAATAATAAAAAAAAGGGAAACATAAAAAAATAACTATTATTTTTGTTTAATTTAGAAACTTTAAGTTCTTAATCCTATACATAGTCATAATACTAATACATTTTTCTTAACAAATCAATGAATTTATTCAAATAATAAATCATTAAAAACTTAGTAATGTGTGGCTACTAAAATAAATAGTATACGATTTAACTTAAAATGACAATATACACCTCAATATAACATGTATGGCTTATTTATAAGTATATTTCATAATTTTGAAATTTTCCAAAAATATTTTATTAATTTTCTATACAAAAATCAATCTAATTATAATAATACCTCATATCCACATTTTTTAGCGTTTGTATTTCTACATGGCCCAGCTAATACATTTGATGAAATTAGTGTTAATAAAATGAAAATTTTCATTTTATAAAAAAATATTAAAACAACTATGTTATTTAAATTTAAAATAATATCACTTTTATTTAACCAGTATAACACTATTCTATTACGTATAAAAGATTTATGGTAATTAATAGACCGTTTATTATGTACTATACACTTGGAGTTCATTTTGTAGCATTATCTTATCACATATTAGATATAGTGTAAATGAACTATATCTAAGTAAATCAATTTTACATCAAATAGATGTAACTAATCACATAACACTATATTTAAAAATTTAACTTGATATTTTGTTAATAGTGCAAATTTTTAAAAATTTTAAACAATATGCAGAATGATTTTTATAACATTTGCCACTTGATTTTTCTAAAAATAATAATTATACTAAGAAATTCTTCTTAGAATTTTTTAGATTCATATACTTATTAATTTATTAATTATGGAATATTTTTTAAATGGACCCTTATACTCTATAAGAATGTTAAATTATTTTTTTAAACGGTAACATACTTATTTAATTATCTTATAAGTAAGCAATTTAACTCTATACCTGTAATACATCTATATTAAAAAAAATTATCTATCGAGTATAACTTGAATTATAAACAGCTAGTTTAATTTTTATTAATCGAAACATTAAAATAATCATTCAAAAATCGAATTGTCAAAATAAAAAATTTTAATTTCTAGTAATTTTAGAGTTATAAAAAAATTAGAGCACCCAATTTTTCTTAAATTGTTTTTTTATAATATATTTATTATTTAAGTATAAAACTCACAGTATAAGATATAGGTTTATTAAAAATAAATTTAAAAACTAATAACATAATTTGGTAACTAGAAATTAAGATAAAGGAATAATTTGTGCGATAAATGTTCTTATTTGCATTGGAGTTAATACTATATACTTGGGGTCAATATTTTTATTTTTGTTGCTTGATTTATCATCATATGATAAAGTGTTATCATCGGTTCTCCATGAAAGTTTAGTATGTTCTGATAAGTATTGATTACCACCAAGTATTGTTTCCCTTAATGATACAATGCGAAATTTTGTAAATAAATCCTACATTAAATTAATAACAACAATTAAATATGATATACAAATAATGTTAAAAAATTATAAATTATTTAAGGACCTGAACATTCACAACAACAGCATTTGACAATCTTTTATCTTCACTATACTCAAAAATATGTTCCAATCTAATTAATACTGTTCCATCTTTCCACGGTTCCAAGGTTAGCAATTGAACGTTATCTGGAAGAGCACTTTTCAGGCCCCAATACTGAAATATAACAATAATAATTCTATGTGAAGATGCAATAAAACCTTATAAAAATCGATGAATATTCTATTACAAATTCACGATCGTGGATAGAAAAAAATAAAAATAAATTACTTCAACTTTCTTTTATTGGATGTTTTAAATCAATGAATTTAATTATGTTGTAAAACTGAGCTAAGGTTTAGTTTATTAAATACAAATAAATACGAAAAAATGTCTACATTAGAATATTTTTATTCCATTTCATAACTTGACAATATATTTTATAAATATCCTTAAAAAAATTTATGCTATGCAATGCGATTCATATTTTACTCGCAATATTTATTTAACGAATTGTAATATTTCATTTAACTGCTGAAGATTGTTTTTATCACTGAAAATAATATTTTCTTTCATCAAGTTTTAACTTGAATTAATTAATTATTAAAAATATGAAAAACCAATATTAAATTTCTGTAAACAATAAAAAACGATTAGGACAACACATAAAGTTATTGAAAAATTAAAGATTAATTGAACACAATAATTATATAATTATTATATAATAGATTTGCAGTGTTGGCAAAATTCATTTTTAAACAAAACTTATTTCATCCCTTATTTCTTTTTCTAAAAAATAACACGTTCCCTTTTTTGATTTCCTTTTATTAAAAAATATTTAAAAAACTACTATAACTGTTATATTAGTGTTGTAACCATAATTTAAAATAAAGTATATTTTATAAATAAAGGAGATATTTTAATCACCCTGTCCTGTATAATATTGTATATATTTATAACGCCTAGAAAAAAAAATATTTAGAAACATTAAAATTAAAGGAATTATAAATTTTGTTCAAAATCCTCATAAAAATTAATTTTATCACGTATCTATCCTTAACTTTCAAAGGTGGCAATTTCTAGCTTCGTTCCATTTGGAACGAATTTCTTCGTAACACTGATTATCATATGAAATATTTTTGAAAGATAATGATTGAGAAAAAATTAAAATTAAATATTTTAAGATCAAAGATATTAATTAGGGGGTTAATAATGTTTATTTACTCTTCCAATTACAAATATTTACTTCCTCTTGTGTTTATTATGTACACTGTATAAACAAATTTGCATTTAATATCAACCCATACTTTAATTATAATATTGTAAAAGAGTTACAAGACTTAAATTTTTTTCTAAAATCGCATTCTTTTCTAAATATTTATATTACTGGGTGTTTATTATCTAAGTATTCTCAACAACTTTGTAATTTTGTGGTTCTATATTGTATATTATAATGAATTACGGAGTGCAATAATAAAGAAATTAAAAGTTTTCCTTTTTTACCTCCAATGTCATCGTATCTTTAAGCTCATCGTATGAAATCAAAGATGTTTTCTTTGAAAAAAAATATTGTGGTCTAATAAGTTTTCTTTGAGCTAAAAGTCTTTGTACTGCATTTTGTGTTTCAACTGAACCAAAAGTTAAATAATGTTGTCCCCTTGCAACTAACCCTGTGCCAAATGGTCGTTCGTTTAATGCTTCTTCAACACCAAATCCATCATCATAAAATATTCTTCTGTGTACCTAAAAAAGGGAATATAATTAAACTTTATTCTTTTAATAAAGCATTTTGCAAGTAAAATTCACCATAAGTTCTATTTCTCCACTATCCAAACTGGAACCCCCTTGCGCTCTATCATTGAGAATAGCAAATTGTGTTTTATTATCTGTCAACATAATCCGTGAAGTTACTGGATAGTAATTTCCAGAAATATTTTCTGCATTTTCTTTCAGATCAAATGAAAATCGATGATTTAATATTCTTTTTAATATTTCTCTGCCATTAGAGTCTGTGTAAAAAGTACTATCGCTTTGATACGATGGTATTTTAAAACGTGATATTACTTCTTTTCCAATCCTGGCAATAACCCCATTTTGTGTTTAGATTATATCAATTTTAAATTTAAAATTACATTCATTTTTTTATATTTACCCATTTGGTATAGGCCCTATTAACCATTCAAATACAAAATGATCATCATCATTGTATTTTCTAACGACTTGACTGACCCAATCGTTGCATGACATATGAATTTCTTGTACTATCGGACCTAAAAATAAAAACATTTTTAACTCATAATAAAATAAAAATTCTTTATTTTAAAAATGTGTAATACCTTTAAATACTTTAGGTTTCTTTTGAACATCACATAAAGGTACAGCTGTTCCATTTGGTCTAAATATATAGGCTCCAGACGCTCTTTTAAAATCTTTAGTGTTATCACCGACCATGCTTATATAATACATAAATTCATGAACTAATTGTCTTTCTACATTATTCACATACATTGTAAAACTTCTAGAGTCATCATTATCGATTTTTAAACCTAATTTCTATAAATAAATGTTTTGATTATCTAAAAACTGTATTATAATTAATTCTTTATTTTAAACAGGAGATTAGTGGATACTTCATATGCTGTCAAGCACCGAAGTTAAGCCCAACTTACGTTGTAAGTCGTCGATTGGTTACCATTAATCAATTATAACTGTAGCAAACACCTAAACCTTAGTACAGAAAATAGACGAGAAACCACTGTACTTCATAGTTTCCTAGGATATACCTAACAGTTCAGTCGTTTCAATTGACTGGTATTAACCACCCCAATGATTAAAAAAATACTTCTTTACTCACTTTGTCGCCTATGTATAATTCATCAGTTTTTGAGAATGATGAACTTCGAGTTGAGTTTATGTGATTAGAATGACTGGTGTTTTTATTTTTAGTAATTAAATAGGATTTAAAACCTAAGGGAGGCAAATCCATAGCTTTGAATATCAATTCTACTGTTGCCATTGACTGTCGACCAGGAATGTTAAGAACGGGATTAGGAATTGGCACTATTTGAGTTAAAAGCTTTTCATTTTTTGGATCAATCACAACATACTCCATATCATCAGTAATAGGTAACCTTACAAATTCTGAAATGATTCTACTTAAAGGATTGTAAATAGTAAGAACAAATTGTTCGCTTTGTTCAGAAATCGTACAAGTACTTATGTTCATAAGATTACAGGTTTCAAACTTCAATGACTTATTACCAACTATATTTCTAAAAATGTAACGTAAGTAAGCATTAAGAGACAGTGAAAATTTTAGATTATTTATACTAACGACAAAACAGAGGATGAAACCTCTTCACACTTTGATATTGCTTCACTTAATATTCTAGCATAATCATTAGCTACATGTTGTTTTTCTGTACCAGTTATCGCATCGTGGTGTTGCATTATTCCCATTGCTTCACGAAGAGGAGTAATTTTTGGTTCATATTGAGATCCACTTAAATGTTGAACCGCTAACTGTTTACATGTCTATATAAGAAAATAAAAAAATGTAGAACATACTTAATCTTAGTTTTGTTAAAAAATATTGATAATATATTTTGTAAAGATATTATGTGATAGTTTATTACCAATATATATTTTGGATCAAAATAAGTCGATCTAAAAAATTTGAATGAGAACCATGATTTACATAGGTATTTAGTGAAGAATTATGATTTAAAAAAAAAAATAATAATGGTCGCTCAACGTGTTTTTAGTATTTTGACCAAAAATACCTCAAAAACAAAATGTAACCTCTGTTATTAAATTTTTGATCAATATTTTGATTAGTATATCGAAATAATTTGATTTTTACTACAGAAAATAAATTTTTTAGTTTCAAAGTTTAAGGTAAATAATTGATGGCGTGGATATTATAATTAGCGTTATTATATGGTATATTGCTAGTAGGTTTCAAGTAAGCTTAATTTTTTTTTCATGCAGTTTGGCTGATATTTATGTATTATATAAGTAGAAAAAAATTATTAACTAATCTTAAAAACTTATATTCTTGAAAATATATTTAAATAACAGTTGATCATTAAATACTTTTGAATTATTCTTTTTATCAAACAATTAATTTATACTAAATATTATAAATAACATAAGAATACAATTTTATGTTATGATAAAATTATAAATCAGTATAAATTTAATTAAAAGTTATAAAAAATAAGCAAAGCTATGTGAAGATACAGATTTACTTAATATTAATAGTAATATTTTGATCATTTTATAGTTTTATTTAAATACTTTTTTACCACGAGAAATAAAACTATAGTAAATAAATTTAAGCTTATTTAAAACGTACTATAATATAATAACGGCAATTATGATATCCACGCCATCAATTTTTTACCTCAAATATAGAAAATAAAAAATTTGTTTTCTACAGTAAAAATCAAATTATTTCGATATACTAATCAAAATATTGATCAAAAATTGAATAACAGAGGTTACATTTTGTTTTTGAGGTATTTTTGGTCAAAATACTAAAAACACGTAGAGTGACTATTATTATTATTTTTTTTAAAATCATAATTCTTCACAAAATACCTATGTAAATCATGTACATAATGAAGTTAAGATGGTTCTCATTCAAATTTTTTAGATCGACTTTTTCTAATCCACCCCAATATATATAAATATATATGTATCAATGTTATGATATAAAATAATATTAAATATTTTTATAAAATTTTGAATTTTAAAATTATATACATTATATTAAACTATTACACTTTCTTCTTTAAAAATAGCATCAATTATATGTATGTACTCATAATATGATTAAATAATATATTTTATGATAATATTATTATTTAGTTAAAATTTGTTACTAGAACTTAATAAATAATTGTTTATATTTAATTTTACTTAGAGCAAATATTTTATCGTAAACCTAGTACTCTATGTAAAATGTACTCTAATTATTAAAAAAAATTTCAAACTATTTCCATACTATTCTTACCAACTTAAAGGAACTATAAGGAATGTGCGTTTCGAATACGATATTAACATAGGTAAAATATAAGTTATATCGATATATATAACATATTATAACATTATTAATTGTTATTAAAAATAATAGTCAATAATAAACGATTAAAATGTACAATTTATAAACGAAATTTATCATTGTTTTTCATCTTACCTGTAAAATATTATTACCTCTTCGTTCATTATATTTTTGTGTAGGTCTAGAGGTAAAGTAACCTGTCCAATAAGCATGTTTGTCACTTTTATAAGGGAAAAAGTCATCTTGTTTCGTGGAGTATATGAGTTTTTTATCATTGATAGCTTTTAAGTAACACGATGGAGTAGAATATATAGCGTTTACTTTAATTCCAGAAATTTGCTTACAATTAATATGCCTATTTATGAAAAATAAATTTAAAAGTAAAATGTAGATTAATTATTTTTTAAAGAACTATCATTATTTGAAGAAAAAATGTCAAATTTAAAAAAATTACAATAATTTCTTTTGTAAGAGAATATAAAAAAATCAGAGTACCACATATCACAACTATACAAAATTGATTAGACAAAATTAATTTATTACTATACTTTAAATTTTTATTAGTTCTACTACAATACGAATTTTTATTTTTTATATCAAATAAATATACAAATACATTTAATATTTTTTGAAAGTAAATGAACCTACAAAATTTTAAATTATAATTAAATAATCATAATATATTTTTATAATTTACAAACAAATTTTCATTGAGAATTTTTACTTTACTCTGCTTAAAAAAAGTCTTTTTACTATTAACTTCAAATGTGATAAAGTAAACTTTTTTACGAGCAAATTTTATAAATATTTAAAAAATGGAGCTTTAATATATCTTATTCAGTTTTTATATTCAAAGTTATTGTCGACTTTTTAATTAAATTTACAACTTAACGCAACTATTGTAGAGTCATGATAACTTATGACTCACGTCTGTCAAATAAAAAGTGATAACATTAATTTTAACTTGTAAATGACTAAGGTGCAAACAAAATAAAATAAAACAAATGTTATCAAATTTATTATACTGGTAATGAAATAAACGAAACTCTTTTTTTGTATTAATTCAAAACACTAAAAAAACCTTCAAAATGCAAATGCACTATAGTTTTATAATATACTAATTTTAAAATAATACAATAAAATAATTTGACATCAACATAATTTAAACTAATTTTTCTAAAACTATGAAATTATGAAAATTTATGGAAATGAAATAATGATTTCAATATTCCATTTGTAATAAGCAAAAACTTAAAAGAAATTATTTTTTCACTCCAATGCATATTTGTGCAAATGTAACTAAATTTACTACTCAAGAAATGTATGTTAAGCAACACAGTTGGAGGTATTAACTGCTGAAGTGTGTTGTAATGCCAATATTATAAAAACATGTTTGTGACATATCGTTAAAACCAAAAATATTTCAGGTTGAATATTTTTCTCTATTAGTAGGAATTTTTCATTGACATACCCTTCATTATTACTTAAAACTAGAATAAATAATCAACATACTTAATTAATTTATCTAATGATTTATAATAATAGGCTGCATCTTGATATGCAAAATCTCCACCCATAGTAAGAATCACATTACCATGATCCTGGAATGCTCTTTGTTGTGTACGTACAAAATCCAGGAGTTCAGATGCCTATTGATTAAAAATAAATAAATATAAATGTTTCATATTTTTCTTTAATAAAATTTGTGTCGTTTAATACCAGTATACACACGTATTCTATGATTAATTATGCTTTTGAACAATAAGTAATAATAATAATGGGACCCTACAATGAATATGTAATAAGTATGAAGCCTTATCACTTATATTAAAATAGTTTTATAATTTAAAGATTCCAGAATAAAATAATTTTGATTACTTTTTTTTCTACGTTGTATGCTGGACTTTTAATATCGTCGACAATAGGATCTATACCACATACAACATCGAAACAAAATCCATCAGGTGCAAAATAATAATTGTATAATACATGAGTAAATAGATCTGCCGATGAACCTGTAAAAAGATAATCTATTGAATGCAATTAATTTATACATTAAAATATAATTCAAATCTTATAAAATTATTTTAAAAATTTATTAATTAATAAATCTAAATAATGTTTTCAATTTTATCTCTATGATTTTGAATAAAAAACATGTAAATTATCTAAAATTTGATACTTTTCAACCATTGGTTAATATTTATAAAATTAATTTAATTATTTCAATATTAAACTCTGACTCCTTATGGATTTCTATTCCAGTTTACACTAGTGTTGGTTAAAAATATTAAAACTTTTTATATTTTACCAAGATTAGGACTCGACTGCCATATCATTTCAGCTGTTTTTTTGTTGAGACGTTGCTTTTTGTCTTCATAGTCTAGTCGTGCAAAAAATAAACCATCATATCCCAATTGGGTAAACAAAGAAGCCATTTGTCGAGAATGGCCAAATGGATCAATCTGCCAACCTATATGAGGTCTACCACATTCACCAAATGTATCATTTAACTTCCTAAAATTCAATAGATTTTGTATCTATATAAATTAATTATTGTTTTTTTAATAATTTTAAAAACTACAATTCTATAAAGTCCATATTAGTGAAAAAATTAATTTAATTGAAAATAATTAAATATCAGGAACATCATTTTATATAGTTCGAAATTCATTTTGAAGTTTTTAAATGTTATCTTATTTTATTAATAAATCAATAATCAATCAATAAAGCTAATGTATATAGATCGGCAGGAGACTCTATGGACGAAATCTATTAATTTGAGATAGATAATTTCTTTTATCTTATTATATAAATCTTATAATAATTTTATATTTAACATTATACTATGTAAAATTATTTACATATGAGTTATACGCAAAGAAATATTTATACCTAGAGAAAATTTTAATGAAATGATAATAGTTATTTAATTTAATTAACAGTTTATATGGATTTGAATGACTGACACAAAAACCATATACTATAATATTTTAATAAGAAAAAGAAATTCCTTCTCACAAGGTGAAACTACAGTGTTGGGCGTTCCTTGATATTCATTGAATATTTAAATTAAATGTTATTTATTATTTTTCATTTTTTTTCCACCTCAAAAATGAATTAAGAAAAAACTACAAAAAATGTTTTTTAAACTGATGGGGTTCAAACTTCATACCCCGAGCGTATAAGACTGTTTGGTCGGGTTTTATATTATATTATTTTAATTTATATTTTATATTTGAACAGCAGCCCAACCCACCGTGCATAATGTAGCTATAAAGGACTATTTAAGCTAGTTCAAATATTCAAAGTCGTTTTTATTAACTTTAAGGGGGTAAAATAATTAAAATAAGTTTAAATTTATTTGTAATGTAAGTTAGATTCATGTAACTCTTTTAAAAATCGGTGGACTCATTACTATGGCCTACCCTTGTAAAGTATTTAAAAAAAAAAAGAAAATTTGAACACAAACGAGCATGTTTTTTCAAGTTAACTAAATCACTTATGAATCCATATTTCTACACAAAACTAAAATCTACAAAGACTATTATTTTAAGAGAACACGAAACTTTGATTCATATAAATTTACAAAATGTATAATATAATATATAGTATTTGTACTGTAAATAAATTTCTATTTTCTTTAGTTATTAAAATTATTCATAAGATTAATAAAAAGAAAAACATTTAATTGATAACTATATGAATATAAATATTTATTATGTACCTTAAACCCCAAGTAAATTGATCAATTGTAGAAATATAATTAGAATTTGCTTCGTCATTCATACTCCATGCACCTCCAATAAACTCTAATTGACCAATTGATACTAATTTTTTTACTTGTAGTTGAGTTTCTTCATTTTGTTCAAGCCACCACTTCCAGAAAAAAGCAGTTTCTACATATATAAATCTATAAATATAATTTATAAAAATTTACTTTTTACAGTAAATAACCGCAAGTTTATTATTAACTAATGTAACTTCTATAAGTCAGCAGTTTTTTTGTTTAAACTTGCAAAGCATTTTAGTTAATTGAAAAATTTACTTTAATAATTTCTCAATTAAATATAATTTAATTATTTTATAAGTATTATTACAGTTATAAAAATGTGAAACAAAATATTCAACACTGTGATCGTAACAATGAACTAAAAACTGATTACCTAATTAAATTATTTCATTAATTATGAAATATCGATAATCTATAAATATATATTTATATACTCACTATATAATTATATATATATATCATTTATTTATGATAAAAATACCTTTTATTGGGATCTTTTGAAAGTGCTTCAACTACAGAATCTAATATGAATTGCACACCAGCCATTTGAATGGATGTATTAGCTAATACAAAAAATATTCAAATACATAAATTCAATATTTACAACAGTTTTAAAAACCAATATTAGTATTGGAACCAACAAAAATTATATTTTATTTCTTATAATTATTAAACGAAATAATATAGTCATATTGACTTAAAAATGAAAAAAACTAAAAAAGGAATAGTTGATTTTTGTTATTTATTTTATAACTAGTTATACATCAATTTTTTCTGGAGGTTTACAACTAAGCCTTTTTCATCAATATTATGCGTAGAAAAAAGGTTCAACTTTTACTATTAATTTTCGAGTTAAAGCACGTACTCTATAAAATAAAATTTATGTCACTATCAAAATGTAAAGAAAACTGATATGTCGAAATTGCATAGAAACTTATATATAATCATTAAAAAAATAGGTTCAATAACGGGATTTATTTATACTCTAGTTATAAATACACCTATAAATATTTGTTTGTCTTTTTTTTTACATAATAAAGTAATTCTTTTTTTATAGCTTAAATCTATATTTTATCCTATTTAAAATTCAGGAACGTCATATTCAAACATTTAAAGATAATTTGTGATTTAATATAAAAATATTGGTAAAGAGTTAATACAATTTTTTTTCTGATATGCAAGAAATAAATTTTAAAATTTATCTATACTTTAGTTGATTAGTCATTTAAAATTATTCTTAACTTGTGATATAATATAATGTCAATTTGTGATATTATAAAAATATAATGTCTGTAAAAAGTAATATACATTTAAAACAAAAATATACTATAGGTTATAAAAAGTTTAAATTATAATATAATCAGGGAACAAGCTATCAATAACAATAATAAAATATGTAATACATTATAAAAATATATATTAAATATTTTAAAACAAATGTATTAATAAAATTGAAAAAAAATAATTACTGCCAAAATAATATTGATCGACAGTCTTCAGCCAACCGACATCATCGTGGGAATGTGGTACAAAATGAATATTAAGAAATCCATCTTTAACAGGGTGGCATGACTAAAAAAAATAAATATAAAAAATATTTAAATTTTGTAATAAATTCTGTCTTACTTATTCATGTATAAATTGATAAATATAAAAAAAATGTAATAAAAATAGACATTTTATGTAAATTTATTCAAGTCAGAGGCGTATTTAAGGAGGGTTTTGGATTCAAATTTTTTCTTGGAACCTTAAAAATATCCTTTTTTGATATAATAAGAATATACTAGAAAAAATTTTCTCATATAAAATCATCCACTAAGCAAAATCCAAAATACGCCAATGACACAATACATATTTGCTTCAAAACCTTATACTAATATTTTTATTAAGGCTTTATGATTTTTAATAATATATTGAACACTTAAAATTAATAAATAGTACATTTTTTATAAGATAGTAAAAAAATGCATAACCACTTATTTAAATGAAAAATAAAAATAATATTAAATTTTTGTACAGTAACATTTTAAAACACGCTTTAAATTTCTTTTAAAGTCTCATGTAATTTGATTACTTTAAAGCTATTTTATCATTTTTAGTCATATAGAAACTATTTTATTGAACAATAAAATATGAATCACACATAGAAAAATTTTTTTTATTTTTTTTTTTTTAGTAATGCGTTGTTTTTTAACATAACAATTATTATTTTTTATTTGAAACAGTATTAAATATTGCTCTTGATTGCGTAATAGAATTTAATATAACTATCTAATATTTTTTGTGAGAAAGGAGCTAAACAATGGCTGTTTTAAAATTAAAAAAAAATATAAAATAAACTCTTATTTTTATCATTAATGATAATAATATTAATATGCTTTAAATGTTGTTTTAAATATCCTCTACATCTTAGCCTATCTAATACACGTCATTAAAAATGGTTAGATTGGAATCACGTGTATAATATGACCTAAAAAGATAACACCATGTAAAAAATGTTACTTTTTACATAAAATGCTTTTCTAGTTTAATTATTTATAGGATAACAAAAAAAAAAAAATTTTGTAAACAAACTTTATTCATTTAATCAAAATAAAAAGTACCTATCTCAGTAAATCAATCGAGAAGAATAAATGAATTTACTTTATTATCGACGATTACATATAAAAACAACACATATTGGTGTGACATACTACTATCTAATTGATTTAAATATCACAAGTAAAGTGAATAGCGATAGGGCGTATAGGATTGTATCTTACATTTATGTAATATTATAATAAACAGATGGAATTGTACAAATATAAAAATTACAATTTAAGACATTAAATTAATTTATTTGTTATTGTTACGTTGATGTGTGATCGTATCAGTATATAAATCAATGTGCCACAAAAAATATTTTTGTTGGATTATATTAGTACAATATTATTACTCTTATTTGTAGAAAAAGTAGGGGGATACTGAAATGAAGCGATTTTCATTAATCAAAAATTAATATTTTTCGAATTAAATATTTTACTAAGCGTGGTAAGCAATTATGTGGAAAAACAAAATTATGAAACAAAAAATAAAATGTTACTTTTAATATTTTTTCACTTAATAATTTAATAAAATATAAGGATATTTTAGGTCACCATGTTTATTTTTTAAAGTTAAATTTTCTCAAGTACATGTGCTTTATTCGATGTAATCAAAAATGGATTTGTAATTACTCATTAAATTTTAATGCATCCAACGCCATACAATATCGTATTAACTAATTAATGTAAATAATATTTGAATTTCTTATATAATTTCCAAAAAACAATTTCTTTGAAACTTGCATGAATTCAATTTATTAGAAATTAAATACTGATCATATACTATTATAAAATAAAAACTACTTTGTAGTTGTTTGGTCTTCACTTCCCAGGATAAACAACAATAATCTAAAGTTTATACCCTTATATCCATTTATAAGTGTTATGCAAGATGAGACTCATTTTCTTGGAAACTATTAAAAATTTTTAATTATTGAAAAGAAAAATATTATATGATTTGAAATTTTCTACAATAATATGTAGTTAAATAATTAATTGACTTTCATATTACCGTAGACAACAATAATGTATCTCAATGAGCCATAAACTATTATCGGTATTTATTTAAACTATCATAAGTGATAAATATGATAACGATAATTGTCAATAAAAACTTATTTATGTGACATAATAAAGAAATGACGACTACTGTTTGTTAAACAGAATATTATTCATAGAGAATTGATCAAAATCCCTAAACTTTAACAAGCAACAACAGAAGAACGATCCGTCGTAAAAAACAATTATAAGTATTTAAGTGTTAGATATATTTTATTTTCTAACATGTCATCGAAATAAAAATAAAAGTTCGCGTTAAAGAAAATTAAAGTTTATGCTTTTTAATCTTAAATTAATAAAAAAATAATTGTTGTAATCAAACAATTTATATATATTACGAAAATTTGAAATTCCAATAGTTATATTATTTAATAGTAAAATTAACTACATTGTTAGAAATGATCCAAAAATTATCATATATCATTATAATATTATTAATATGCACATTGACTTTACATACAAATAGTATAATTTGGAATTAAATTATCGAAAATTTGTACACTTTTATCAGAATAATAAATAATAGTAGTATTTTCTTTAATGAGATAAGAAATAACATGTTATTAATATGATACTTTACATGTTCGATCGAATTAAAATTAAAAGTAAAAAACAAAAACAGAAAATTAAATTTTAATAAAACAATTTTTTTTCTTACTTCATATCCACAACCGTTAATTTTGTAAGTTTCATCTTTAGGTCTAGCTCTACTACTTAAAAGCTGTAATAGCAATACAGTAATGACCGTGATATACATTTTAATAATGTCGTAAATAGTTGTTAAGTATTTTTAATTTATAATTAACTTGATTTTAAATAAAACGTTACCACATAATGAGAAAAAAAAAATTAATAGATTCTTGATCACTGCTGTTGTTTACTTGACTGGCATTAGACTAGTCACCAGCCGGCGTTTTTGCCGGAATTGTAGTTATACCATAATGTACCTTTCATAAGTACCGGTTTCTGCCATTTTTACTATACTTTAGTACATTTGCCCCACTGTATTATTTTAACATTTCAAAGTTACATTAAATCTATTGATCAAAACAAGTGAAATATTGATTACTTTATCTATTTTTAGCATAGCTGTGCATAATATTGTTTATTATTCAGTATTATCAAATTTGTATTGCCTAGTAACATTGTTAAACTATTAATATTTAATAGATAAAAGTTATTAATTAATTGAGGTTAAGTAATTTTACTAGTAAATCTATTTTTATTTTTTGACATATTTTGATAAATAAAAAATTATTTTTAAGAATAAATCAGCTAGTTAAGTAGAGTAAACATTTAACGATTTAAATCTTTCTACTATCATAAGATAATAATTTCTTTAAAATTTCTTAATATTTAATGGTGATGTTAACAATTTTAATAGTTCAAATCTTATACTCCCTTAAAAAAACAGTTTACATATATACAACACAATATACACAATGTGTATTACAGTAATGTAATGAATGTTAATAAGCTGCACTAAAATTTTTGTAAATCAAACTCTGTTAAAACTAGTTTTTATGATAAATAAAAAAAAAATTTAACGACACTAGTGAACAATAATTTAAATATAAAATACTTATCTTGGTTCTAAAAAATAGTTTTATTTACTCTATTAATACTATACAAACAATATTTAAGTAATTGTTCTTAAGTACATTGAACTAGGAGAAAAATAAACATTTTAAAAATGAACAGCAAAGTAAATCTCGCTCTTTATTCTCAGTTTTTGATGGATTCTTGCATGTTATTTACTATCAAACAAAACTTAATATGCACAAAGATTGTATGTATAATTTCTCACGTTGGAATTCGTTTTCTTGGGTAAAACTTGTAGTTAATTTATTGAGTATAGTTTAAATAATGTATATGCAATTATTTAACTTAAATTTATTTATTATAATGAGAGAACAGAAAATTTGTGATCACGTTTAGATATATGTTATTAAAAAATAAAAATAAAATGTTATGTGTCTAAGTTTTATACATTTCTAACTCAAGAACAAGTTTTACAATTAAATTCATTTTCATATCACATAGCTTCTATACAATTGCTTTAAATACTTTGTACTTATCATATTTATTTCATATTGATACAAAGTTATCTTTAAGTTACATGATTTATAACCTTTTTACCAGTTATATAAAATTTCCAATATTACACATATTATTATTTTTTAATTAAAAATATTAATTTCTTTAAATATGGAGTCTAGCAAAGCATACGGGTTTTGTTAAGTGTTTAAGGCGAATTCAGGTTCACCTTAAACTTTTAAGCGAACCATTAATCAGTAAGGGTTTGTTTGATATAAGAAATCATTCAACATAATGTTATTATAAATCAAATGTATTTATACTTGTCATTGAACATATTTTAGACAAATTCTTCGAAATCACATAACCAACTTACCTTTTACCTGATAACAATTATTTTTAAACTCAATGATATTATGCAGTCTTATTTGGGTATCTTAATAGTGAAAATGACACAAAAAAAAATTATTAAGAGATGTAAGAAAACTAACAAAAATGTAATTGTAAAATATTGTTTATATGGGGTCGTTTAAACCGTGTGAGTTAAGTGGCAATGTCTGGACAAGACATTAACGTCATAGGATAAATACCGTTGATCGACCACTGGATTACTCGGTCAACAGTGCCAACGGCACCAGTCATTTTTCTTTATTTAGTTGTTTGAAATAATAATTATTTAACAATTGATCATAAAACTGAAAATTAAAACCTTTAATTGATGAAACAAATCAAATAAATTATTTTTTATATATTAATTAATTTATTCTATCTATTAAATTTATATTTAATGATTATTATTATTATTAAACTATCATTGTATAACTAAAGAAATATAAATATTTTTTAGTATTTTTAGACTTTTAATAAAATTCCCAGAAAAAAAAACAAATTTAAATTATTAATCGAAACAAAAATTAATAATTAGCATTAATTTTATTAATTTAAAATATTTTTAATGTAGTTAAACTTTAAGATATGACTTTTAATTGTATAAAATTTATTTCAATTAATTAGTTGAATAAAGTTTTTCTACGTTTAAGTGAAATTTTAGTTTTTATCCATGAAAGTTTTAGTGCTTTGTTACAAATATAATCTTCGTAAATTTATTTATTATTTTTTTCAAAATGCAATAAATTAAATAGAAATTAATCAAATATTGTTTGGGTGCAATATTAATGATTTAATTGTAAAAGTAGTTCAATATTAGAACATTAAAATGTTATGCTAATGTTAGTAAAGAAAGTTACAAGTTTCTAAAAGTTAATACCCAAAAAATTAACTTAAAAATTTTTAAATAACTGACACAAATTTTCAAAATGTCAAATGTTTTATATGAACTTTGTAACTTTTAAAATAAATAGCGGGATATATATAACTCTTGTCATTTTTCCAGCACACGATATCTTTATAAATAGGTATATTATTGTTGGATGACATAGTCGCAAAGAGCCGTTGGTTTCTGTAATAACTATAATGTTAGCAGGCAGTTTGTTAGCATACTTGAGGTCGTTTTAAGCTGCTGTCACTTGTTTCTAGTCGTATAGTTGTGACAACAGTCTGACAGTAATGCACGTAGTGATCGCAATTCTCATAAAATACTTTACAGTTTTCTTTACCTGGAAATTGCTGTGTAAAAGAAGGCTGAACGTAACGTACTAGTATTGAAATATAAACAAGAGTTTCATTTGTTGAAATTGTAAAATGGAATGTAAGACTATAATTAAAACGTACAAAGTATATGATGAGATTATGTCTGCAGTGCTTCGAAACTCTGTCTATCATAACGTAATGGGAAAACGGGCGGTTGGGTTAAAATCATTAAACGAATAATATGACTTTATAATAAAACTCATAATAGTATGAAAACGGAAAAACTTTAAATACTTAAGAATCTTTTGTTTAGGAATTATTCATTTGAGAATCCTGCATCTTGAATATTAACGTCACTTTTATTTCCACTTGGTTTAATTGTTATTGTCGTATGATTTCTTCTCTAAATTAAATTTATATTTTAGATAAAGATTTCTTTGAGTATTATTCAAAACAGTTTTATTAAAATGTATAAGCCTTTTTTAAGTTCAGACTAATGTTGCAATTTAACTCTTATCAATAACACAGATAACCCAGCCCTAATGTATCGTTACCAGGAAGGAGAAAATAAGTAGGAATTTATTATGAACAATGCATTATAACCTCTTCACTCATTATATTACCACCTCTGAGTAAAGGATCATTTAAATTTAAATAGCCTTAATTAAAAGAATTATTTTAATACTTAGATTTTTAGTTAAATAAATAAATGATCAGTTTTACATCCTTCTATTTACCCAACTTAACATGCTACAGTAGCCCTCTTTCACATGTCAGGGATTAAAGATGGTTCTTGGCTAAGCTAATGATGGACGGGACGGGTATTATGACCAGCTCACGCCAGAGACCAGACACTACCAATGAGAAAATCATATAAAAAATCTTTTTGGTACCCTGAGGTTCAAACCCTGAACCCCGTGCGCCGAATCATATGTTTCTACTCACTAGGCCAGGACGACACCTTATTAAGCTTTTTAGCTTAGTATTCGATAAATATTAGATAATTGATAACGATATATTTTTTATTTTTATTTAAACATTTGTGATCTAAACAATTAAAAAAAATATAAAGAATATAAAAATGTATAATCAATATAAAGAAAGTTAAATAAAAAATTAAAAACCTGACGAAGTAAAATTTTTCTTAAATGAATATTTCTAAAATATTTAGATTAATCACAAAGATATTAGTGTTTATGCGACTAAATTGTTTAATGTTTAAAATTCATTGTAAAGGGTTTTTTTTTATAATTACTATTTAAAATATAGGTCTTTACTGTTTTCGATTTGTCAGGATTATTTAAATTCCGACTAAGTAGTTTCGTTTTAAAATCTCATAAAAACTATTAATTACTAAATTTCTGCCTTTAAAGTACAAGGTAGGCAAATAAATAAGCACGTGTTGCTTTTTATATTTAAATTACAGTTAATAGTATAAAATGACACATAAATAATTAAATTCTCAAAAGTGCAGTGATTTCCCGTTGCTTTATGCATTAGGAACATGGTACTTTTTCGCCATTGTGGAAGCGCACGTCACCCATCTGTTCACCTACGGCGGTAAGCGCGGCTTAACACTAGAGTTTTGTCAACATATAGTGTGACCGCTACGCCACAACGACCATCAAATACAAACTGTAGTCTTTTTATAAATTATCTATGGTATTATGTTTTTAACTAATCCTTAAAAATAATATCAATAATAAAAAAGAATAATTAAGTCACATAAAAATATAAATAAAGTTTTAGGGCCTACATAATGTCAATATTATATAAGTACATATAAACATTTTTTTATAAGTTTTAACAAAAATGTTCAATGGAACTAAGTCATTGAAAAATTATCGTAATAAATAAAATCAACAATTATTGTTAATTGACTATTTGAATGTTCACAATTATTTGATATTTCTCACATTATATTATAAAAATCGTGATTTTCTAAATCAAAGCATTTAGTTATTGTAGGGTCTAATAGAAATTTCAAATAAAGAGGTTTTGGGAATTAAGTTCAAAAAATTATCAGTTATACTAACTAATAAAAAAGGAAAGTTCCTTGCCTGAATAATAATGTATCATCTATGAAAATTTCTAATACTATTAGTAATTTTTCAGAAATTTTTAACAAAAATAATTAAGTAATAATCTATGTTTTCGTCAAGTTAATATAAAATTATCTATGATAAATGAATAAAATAAATATTTTTGAATTTTTCACTATACGAATATTTTAATAATAGTAAATATTTTAATTTATAAATTTACTAAGTAAAAATAAAAATAGTTTTTAGTTCATATTACATTTTTTTGTTTATTATGAAGGTTTTTCTT